TCTTCGAAGCCTAGTAACTCTCTAGGTAGTTGACATATTTACTCTATTCCACTTCCCAGACTTAGCCGAAGGTCCCCTCTCATATATCCTGCGAACAGAATCTGGTTGGACAGATGGTAGTGACATATACGGTGTTATTCTGACACTTTCAATTCTGTAGTATTATAGTCACAGGACCCAACTGAGATTGATATGTATGATAACATGTAGGCCCTGTAAGGGGGCCGCAGGGGGGTGTTGGAGACCAGATATTCTGATTCTGGGTGAGGTAATCCTACTTAGGGTGATTCCTAGGTATCGGATTCCGGTATTCCTAACAAATACACAGTACTTAAAGCTACCCTGACTTCTTAGGCAATACGACGAAAGGTCCACTCAGCATGGTCACGCAACCCACGAATCTTAAAGTACAGCGAGGCAGTAATAATCATACGAAATGGAGCAATAATAATGGGAGTGGGAGAAAGAGTTCTCAAACTAATAGGACTTAAAGAGGAGTCCTGAGGAGCAGGAGATAAGCTAATTTCTTCCATTTCAACTCGGTGTTTTTTCTTTTCTTTTTCTTTTTCTAATTTCATGCACTACTCTTTTATTTATGCATAGTGTTTGGTGGAGCGCCTTGATTATTTTCTAAAATAAAAAATTAAGCTTTTCCACAAGCAATACTATTGGTGTTTCTATGGTCATGATACTACAATCTGTTGCTGTTTGATGTTTCTGCTCTGCTGACCACCCTCCTCAGATTTACTTGGCAACCCTTGTACGAAAACATCATGCCTGGTACTTGTACCCGAGTATACAAGTATATATCAGGTGGTGCAGCTTATCTTGATTAAGGCGTCCAGTGGCCTGTTTGAGCTTTTCGGATGAGCTTATCTCCCAATCCCCCCAAATACTCGAGTACGGTTTTGGGACTCTTAGCTTCTGATTCTTACAAACACAACCGAGTACGAGTACTGGTATATATTTTTGGTAATTGCGACATGTTAATTCAGTGGTACAGAAACATTGTGAAAACCTCGCTTGCGTGCCTGCGATGCCTGGGGTTTAAGATTTGACTGAATTCAGTGCATCATCTATGACTTCTGAATAATTCCTCTTGGTTCAACGATCGGTACCTAGGCTTTGGGTGTGTAATTTCAACAGGCGAGTACTTGCCTATGGATATATGGGGCGGAAAAATTGTGGTGCCAAAGTAGGATTTATGCTAGCCCATTAATAACCCTTTTTGAAAAGAAACAAAGCATTGTAGCATTTAGAGTCCCAGGCCGGTTGAATTGCTGTTTACTTCCCTCCCGAGATGAGAGAATTGGGGATGTTGAAGGGCTACTTGGGGTTGCAAGCAATCCCTATGGCACCGGCAGCTGGTCAGTACTGAGCCCAATTTCACGTCTCTTACCTTTCGGGTACACCACCCGAGCCCCTCACTTCCACCGGCAAGGAAATTCACCTTCTGCTGTGGACTTTATCCACTCTGGGTTGCTAATGTGAACTGGGCCTCGTTTTTTCCCCACTAATATTGACTATATACTTATTACCCCACAGCATCTTGCTTATACCCTTTCCGCTCTGTATGACCATGCGCGAGTAGTGATTCGTGTCTGTCCGAGTTTACAAGAGATTACAGGAAGGCCTGCTAGTAGACAATTCTCCCCTAATACAAGCAAGTTGAGCATTATATGAAAAGCCCGTTTTGGAAGGATTTTGGAATCATGGAATTAGATATCGTAAGTTATATCCCCAGCACCTACCGGAGTCCTCCTATACGGGGCAAGCAATCCAGGGCTTCCAAATCGTCCTACAACCTACAGGAGGTGCTTTCTTTACTGCACCCTGATTACAGAATAGAATGTGGCGGTGTACCAGTCTTGTGTTGGCGTTTGTGTACTCTAGTGACGTTAACTTTAATTATCTTCCCCCCCCCCTTTCCCAGCCAGTAGGAACCTGTTCGATCGGAGATGCGCGATCACAGTTCCTGCAGCCCCACGATATATTCTCTAAGAAGGCATCGATTGCTTACTTTTCAACGAGGGAGTGAGCCTTGCCTCTTGTGGACTGTACACCTTAAAGCTTGATCTGATAATCATCTTTTGCCCGGACAGCGGCCCGCAGGTGGTGGCACGGGACAGGATTGGAAGTCGCAACAACCGCGGGTGGGCGAAGTCACATGAGTAATTTTTCATGATTACCGGCCAGCCCATATCTTTTCCAAAAACTGAGCGAAGAATTGGAATGAATAAAACTGGGATTAGGAATAAGCTCCCAGGCTTTATTTTCTACGTCAGGTGACAGATTCCGGAGTTTTCCACAATCCGGGGACAAAAATTACTAAAGTGACTAGGCGTGCCATGAACACTAGAGCTAGTGGAACCGTGTTGCGGATATTGCCAAACGGCCAATTGACCAAGGAAAGGATTTATGAATTTCCGGTGCTTCTGACAATAGCTTTTGGTTTTTCGGATTGCGTACTGGAGCGTGCTGTGAACGCCTACCTGCCGCAGATAGTTCCTAGGAAGTCCGATCTTATGGTAAGATCCACTAAGAGACAGCTTAATAGTGTTGCTAAAACTCCGGTACGGTGGAAAATGGCGGAAACAATGGTCGATAAGATCACGAGAGGTTTTTAGGGGACAAGTGGCTGGGGGCCTGTTTTATATCGAGATTCGGGATCCACGGATTGTGAATGTGCAGGGGGTTGATAACAGGATGTTGTGAGTAGTCGATTTTAAAAGAGTACGGTAGTTAGTTTCTTGGTTGTTCCACATGTACTTCTCTCTCCCCTAATACCACCTCCGGGATTCGAATTGGCTTTCTATCTGACAGGTAGCCGAGCTAATAAGGAAAAAACAAGTTAGGAAACCATGAAATCAGATTTACGATGAGGAAAGAAAAAATCGAGTATGATACCACAACCATTCCTCCACTCCTGCCTGTCTGTGTATGATACCTGCCTTTTCCTGCCAAATACTCTCTACCCACCACTCCTTACCAGCATTCTCTTGTTTGCTCTCTCTGGCCAGCAACTGCCTGTGCACCCTACCCATTCATTATAGAACCGGAATCCACAACCAAAAGCCCATATCCCAATACTGCCCAACTCACCATTTCTCTTTAACCTGTAATCATAGGCCCTCCCTAAACCGATCAAGAGGAAGACGGCCTCTGATGTGTTAGACTTTTACATTCAACAATTGATTCTCAAGTTCCTCTAGTATAGCAGTGATGGTGGAACCAGCTTCAGGTGAAATGAGGCCTACTTGAGTCCATACATACTTTCTGACACTTGCCAGCATCAATAATATCTTTACTAAGTCAATTTCTGAGGTTAGTTATTGCGATTTTGTATCATACTAGGGATAGCCTAATAAACTGTAAAGATAAAAGTAAAAAATAACTCGAAAGAGTTCAGAACGTACTGGATATTAATTTAACCCTGTCATACCAAACATTTTCCTTTCCCTCTTGCTAACCATTTCGACGGATCCTCCTTTCCCACATCACTGCCATTTCGAACTGCACTCCCAGACTATTTTGAAATTGATAGAATGATGAAAGACTACTGTGGTAGAAGTATTATTTCTCAAACCGAGAACTGAAAGCGAACACTGATCATCGGTTGGTGCATTGAACTCTGGCATGAGCAAGGATGAAAGCTGCATGTTGTTCAACATCGTTCAATTATCTAATCAGTAATTTTCACTTTTTTCCTGCTCTTCCTTAGAGTTTCTTTTTTGTCTCATTTTACTTTACAATTTTTATCCATATATCATACCTTTCGTGCAGTGTGTCATAGTTGTGTTAGAACCCCCCAAATAACAGTCATGCTATCATACCTCCTGTAGGCCGACTATGGTCTGACTGGTCAGTCCAAACTGCTACCTGTGTGGTCTACAGGACTGGAGTCTGACTTTACCCAATTCATCTCCTGGATCGAGCCGTCTGGACACTACATTGGATTAGACGGACTGGCGTTTGCGAACACTGCCTCTGGCACTTGTACCTCCGTATGATACTCAGGTGTATCTGCCAAAAAAGTCCTGCCACCAGCCTGGACTTACTGAGGTTTTTTTTTTTTGGAGGGGGGGGGGATTCGCCAACAACCATGTCCAGCAATGGCCGGGACGGGACTCCCTTGCCTGCCTTTCTACCTCCTTGGTATGCCATTTTTCACCAAAAAAAACCACTACGATATCCCATCCCAGCACACACCCCGTTACTAATAAAATAGAAATCCCGATTCTATAATGCTGACCACCAACGAAGCGCAAACTCCGGGAAATCCACCGGGCACATCCCCCACAACCGCACCGAATCTGCACTACTGCGCTTGTGGGATGAACGGCCAAGTCACGCACGTCTCGCAACATACCGTGATTTTATGACCCGTCAAGGTACGGTACAGTGCGCATCACAAACCCCGACTCGTCCACCAAAGCGTCATGACTCCGCACTCGTATTATTTCACCCGGCAGCAAACGCCCGACGAGATTCTCCTTTCAAATTCTTAATTGTCGCGCCGGATGCGAGACTTTATCGTCTTCATGGCTTAGTTGGTTAAAGCGTCGGTCTCATATGTAACGTGACCCGCTCTCAGAGTCGGGATATCCGAAGGTCGCGAGTTCGACTCTCGCTGAGGACATTTTCACTTTTTTCCTGGTCTGCCTGACGCCATTTCTGGGCCGATACCCAACCTTTGGTGGAGAAGTCGGGGTTTTATTGTCTTGGGTGTTGGGTGGGTGGCAGCGGTTGGTTATGGTGGTTATTTAACGTCACAGGGTATTGGCACCAGCGGGTGTGTGGAAAGGTAACGGGGGTGAATAGGGCCTGTTTGGTTGCGACCGTTTCCCATATAAAAATGGTCATCCTTCCGTTTTGAAAATTTAACGGTCACTTTGTACGAGTATGGGACGACCAAACGGAACCATCACAACCAACCGGCCCTAACTAGTCTACTGCAGCCATCGTACATCATAAAGAGACTATTAGAAAGTACTCGTAGCAAAAAATCATCACCCTTTGTAATCCAGCTCTAACAAAAGAAGAAAGAGAGAGAAAAAAGGCATCACCCAAACTCGCACCCATATAAAAGAACACCTTTATACCAGCCAAGCAACCAACCATAAAAAACCCAAGCCGTAAACGGAATCACTACAAAATTCATCAGCATTCTCAAGACCACGAGCGGAGAGGGAAGAAGGCTCACGTGAGAAATATACTGAAAGCAACAAGTAACAACCCCCTGCCCACTCTCCTGTCTGAGCAACAAATCCTGGATCTTATCCAACCCTCCATTCGGCTCGTCGGACATATGATTCCAAGTACTCGTATCACCGTAAAGCATCGCGGGAGCTTTCATGACCTGCCTCCAATCCCTACATCTCTTGCACTTGAAAGTGTCATGCGTATCGCTATTAGTATTTGGCTGGAACCGGAACAACTGCTTCAGCCCGTCCAGACCAAAATGTCTTTCTACGTCTTCAACGCCGTCGACGACGGACGTGGAGAGCGACTGTTTGTGCGATTGGCGCTGGAAGATTTTCTCTTCGATGGTTCCTGTGGCAATGAAGCGGTAGACGAAACAATCCTTTTTTTGCCCATCACGCCAGACTCGCGCTAAAGCTTGCTGGTCCGCGGCGGGGTTCCAGTCTGGGTCGAAGAGGACGAGCCGGTTCGCACCGATAAGGTTGATGCCGCAGCCTCCGGCTTTGCTACTGAGAAGGAAGACAAACTCTTCGCTATCAGGGTCGTTAAACTTGGCGACTAGCTTCGTGCGTTTTGAGCCGTTCATTGTACCGTCGAGTCTTAGGGCACCGTAACTGTGGGGGGGCGGGCGTTAGTAATTGTTCGATAGAAAAATGCGGGATAAATGGTGATTACCCCCTTGAGCGACAAAGCTTTTCAAATACATCTAGTGTTTGTGTATAATTGCTAATGAGGACGATCTTATCCTTTGTCTCGCGCTGGATTCTTGCCAACATCCTGTCCAGTACCATCATCTTGCCGGAATACCACACTTTGACCTCCCTGTCTCTCCCTCGGGCGTCTTTCGGAACGTAATCGTCAGGGTACAGACTCTCACATCCGGGCAAATCCTCGGAGAGGTTGAGCAAATCAGGGTGATTGCATAATTTCTTGAGCAGCCCGATAGCTTTCAAAGGTTGGGATCCTTTGCCCCTTAAGATGGATTTGATATCCGGAGACGTGATGAAATAATTGTAAAGATCCGTTTGGAAGGGCGACAACTTGCAGAATACGACATGCTCGTACTTGACGGGTAGGTATTTCGACAAGATATCATTAGTACGCCGAATGATAAACTTATTCACCAACTGGAGAAGTTCTGCAAGTCGTTCGTCTCCCTTCTTACGATCGTCTTCGGATCCATCCGCGTCACGCCCACGAAGAATGGGAAGTTCGTATTGCTTCCTGAATTCATTGTGCGTGCCTAAGAAATTAGGGTTCGCGAAGTTTAGAAGAGCGAAGTATTCCGAAAGATCATTCTATAAACATCTTCAGCCTATTACAGTTGGGCCATTGAAATAATAAACGTGACTAACCTGGATAGGAGTTCCGGACAAGATCACTCGTCGGTCAACATTCAAAGTCATCAATGCCTTATATGTTTGATTGTCTCGATTCTTCAATCTGTGCCCCTCATCGGCGAGCAAAAGCCCAATCGGTATGCTGGCAAGATCGGAGGTATGGAGACGCAGGGATTCATAACTGACGATCAGTACGGGCCGAACAACGCTTCTGCCGCTGGATATAGCCCATTGCTTGAGTTGCGCTTTAAGTTCCGCCTTCGAAACCTTGCCGTCAATGGCGAAGGGATTGATCGCATCCTTACCGAGCCATTTCACCAACTCGCTCGCCCAATTACCAACTAATGACGACGGACAAACGACCACGCATTTCTGTATAGTAGGTTTCCCGGGCTCGGGTGATTGCTTAAGTAGAGTCCACATCAAGGCGATACATTGGAGCTATCGAAAGTATTAGCGTAATGCCATACCTCTAGTTTCGAACATCTTACTGTCTTGCCCAGACCCATCTCGTCCGCCATAATACACCCACTTGCCGCAGCGTCCGTCATACCTGTAACACACCTGTACATGAACTACGAAAGCAAAATGTTAGCATCCATTTCAGAGGAGCAGCAGCCCGAGCATACCTTGATACCCTCAACCTGATGAGGCCTCAAAACCTTTGACAATCTTGGATCAATGACCACTGGAACTTTGGGAACCTGATCCTTATCCCCCTTGTTCAAACCCAGTATCTCGGCCAAGCTCTTGTGCATCCTCGGAACAGGCTTCTCCTCGATCTTCACCTCACCGTCCTCTTCAGTAATCTCAACCTTCTTGTCATCGATGGTAGGGTCATAAAGGACAATTGCAAACTCGCCACTAGGGTCATGAAGCGGTTTGGCGATAAAATTGACGCTTTTCCTCATCCCCAACGCCGGAGCAGGTCTAAAGGGATTCCATGCACCGGCATCTTTATTAACGAGCGGTACCGCAAATCGCTGTCTAAACACAGCCTCTTTGTCTTTCGCTTTAAACACCGGAAAATTCTTCATCACGTCCAGATTGCCCAAAATGATCCTCTTCTCCCCTCCATCCTTGACAAACTCACCATCGTCCTCGCCACCATCAGCACCCGCGTAAGAACCGACTTTGCGTCGTTTGCGAGGAGGTAAAGCAGTCTTTCGTATCGACGGGGCGGATCCGGGCGTTTTAAAGGGTTTGACAAGCTTCGAGAGTGTATCAGGGCCAGCACTGCTATAGAGTCGGCCAGGTAGGGTTCGTTTAGGGGTCACAATATTTTCGTCGACGAGAACAGGCGCGGCATTCTTTGGACGATGCATCGTTGCTTGCTAGAGAGAGTGTAGCACTTTGAGTTTGTTTGTTATGATAGCTATGATAAGTAGTTCTCGCGTTCTGACGGGGCGTAGTGTATGAACGCGTCGAAGGAGGGGTAGGGCGTGGGGCCACAAGGAGGAGACGCGTTGTGACCAAGTTTAGCGTGAGAGCTTGGTGGCGGAGTCACGAGTCAATTTAGGTATGACACATAAATTTATCATCCCGATAGTCTACGACAATTGCTCCAAAAGAGAATGAAACCCATAGTAACCCTAACCCATTACCTCCAACCCAATTCCCCTTGAAAGAGAATAATACGGTATCATAACAGAAATGGCAGCGGATGCATATGCTTCTGTTGAAGAAGGAAAACGAGCAGAGAAGCTAGAGTTGCTCGTACCATTGCTACATCCCTAACAGTTGTGAAGAGCTAGCCCTAGGGATCCCAGCCTTCAAGTCATCCATTTCGCGCTCCTCGTGCCCTCGTGCTTGTCCCCGATATGCGACAAAATGGCCTGTCTGAGCACTCTATGATGCTAGGATCCTCCTATCTATCGAGAATCAGTGTGCTGTCGCCTTTTCTTTCCCAAAACCTTTGTTGATAACAAATACCGGTACCAGTACTGTACTGTAGGTTCACCCCAGGGGAGAGCAATGCCATGCTATCACTGTGCCGTACTGTGAATCACTGGATTGGTGCAATGGGATAAAATCTAATGTTTTGTTTCTCCGGAAACAATACCGGAATGAGGAGGATTATTGCTGGTTTATTGTTTCAGAAGTGTTTTGGAAGTGTCACAGTCAGGGCTGAGTCGGAATTCCGTAGCGAGTGCGGTAACCGAGTGACTTCAAGTGACGAACTCTGGGTCATCTTCAGACCTGGAAGCTGCCAGAATCACGGAGAATGCTGAAAACTGGGTAGAATTTCCGTTAACCCTTTTTCACCCTGGCTAGGGTGGTTACAGATACCAGTAAGACTCAATTCCATGGATGAGAGGTACTGTGCTGCACCGCACTCGTCGTACCCGTACTTGTACTGTAATATGCTGAATGCAAAGTCTTCTCCATGACAACATCTAGGGATGGTCGCATACCTACCTCGGCCGTTTCCATGTTATGCGAGAGGGATAGAAAGCAAAGCACCACTCATGGTCCCCCACTGTTCGAGCAGTAAGACAAACTAACTTGTGATGAGGCTCCGCAGATCGAACCGGGACCAAAAGACTCCGAGACAATACCTGCAAACTGAGTTCTTTTATGATCAAGCTTGATCAGATTCGACTCCCCTGTCGGGCAGTATTTTGAGTCTACGTCGGTCTCGGAAGCATTTGTTTCCCGCCTCTAGGGGAATCGATTAATCACCCGCATAACGCAAGAACAACGCAGCGATCGTGCTTGGCGAGCTGGAGAAGAGCAACTTCACCAATCTTAAAAAACTTTCTTCTCATCGCCGAAATTCATCGAGATACTTACCGACCGGGGAAGGTCGTTGAGCTTGTATGAGTTCTAATCCCTTCAGAAAGCGGGCTTCGGCCGAACGTCCCCGAACATCGCAAGATGATTCGACTCGGGGACAGGATCCACAAGTGCTTTCGACATCGCCGAACCGTAGTAGAGCGAGTTCATGGGAAGGTATAATATACCTGGGACCCCCCCCTCCCACTTCCCCTAACTTATAGGAGGAAGAGCTTCCAGCTAACTCGGTGTGTTTGTACATAGTCGTCGACATACCGCCGCCTTCACCGGCTCTACGGAAGCGAAGTCCTCCTCCACGACTACATTCGAGAAACAGAAGATCCTACATCCCTCCACCGGAGATCATAGCAGACCCATTTAATCCTACTACTGAGTCTCCGGTGTCTTCAGACTTTGAAGGTAATGATGATGATGATGTACTTGCTCGGGGTAGGACTGCTACTTATCTTCGACTCCGCTTAGCGCTAATATCTCTGTAGAACCAACCGAGCTTGGCCGTCCAGGAACAACCAGCTTTCCTAGTGCTGGAAACGATGGAGGATACTCAGTGGCTAAGTCTGGACGACAGTCGCTGGATGCAGACGCCTTCAAACGACTAATGCTCACAGGCCAAAGTTCACTCTCTTCACCCCAGACACCAGGAACGGGTCCAACTCCTCCAGTCGTTGCACCGGATAGTTCCACAGACACAAGCAGTATTTCTCGACAATCTATCTTCGATCCAATACCGGAAGCAGTGGATGGAGTTCCGGATGAGACACCCAGGACCAGCAATGAATTAGACGAGGAGGAAGAACGGCGTCGATCTAAGGAGCGGACTCCTAAACCGAAGCCTCCACCGCCGAGGGCACGGAATAAGAGCGGTGGAAGATCTTCAGCCTCTCCGCCCTCTTCAGTGGCCGATATCCCCAGCCTAACGCCACCTCGGCCTCCATCTATACACTCCGTATCATCGGAGAGATCGCTGCCACCGCCACCGCCACCGCCACCACTTCCGGTGGGCTCAACCAGTCCAATTTTAAACGAGACTGTATCACCGGCATCTCCTGCGGCATCCACCATCTCAAAGAAAATAGCCCCTTCACCACCACTTTCTCGTCGTCACTCGGTTCAATCAAATACTAACCCCCTTCGCCCGAGCACCCCCGCGGGAAGTGCCAATAGTTCTAAAATGAAACCTCCTCCACCTCCGATCCGCCGGCACAAGAGCACAAGTTCCCGGGCTTCTACAGTCCCTCTATCTGCCTTACCGGTCCCTCCACCACCACCCCCGCCTCCGCCAAGGCGAAATAGAAGCTCGACAGCAAATTCATATGAAACTCCAGAGGAACCTCTAACTACCCCTCCGGAAAAGTCTTTACCTCTTCCTACAGAGCCAGCAATGCCAATTGTTCAGGGAACTGAAACAGATATCTTGATTGATCTGGAAAAGCTGCAAAGAGAGGTGGATGAGTTACGGGGTAAGTACGAAGGGAGGGGTGTTGGTCCGGCCGTGTCAACTTAATACATACATACCACAGCATGCGTGCTGGACACGTTCCTTTTGCTTATTTTTTTAGGGCGGAGTTTGCTCGGTGGAGCGTGGGTTGAGTGGTACTTGCTTTTACTTTCTTAGAATTGGTCTTTTTTTTCCCCTTTCAAGCAAAAAGGAGAGACCCGAGGAATGAACTTGCTTGTTCGGGGGTATACCTGTTTGCGCCGCAGCGTAATAGTGGATATGAATTTTAATGGTTTATCCTGTTTATTCTTCTGTGAATAAATGTTTGGCTGCTGGTTGCTTGGCTTGCTCGTGTGGATATCACGTTGCGCGTGGTGGGGTCTAGTATTGATTTAGCAATGGCACTCAAGTAGTAACGGTGACTAACGGTGGGTGAAGAACGTTTCGTGGAATTCAGCTTGACAAATGCTGCCGGTAAACACCATTCTACACTTTAGACACTGTAGGGGAAACATGCTGCGACCAATGCCGCCCAAACAATGACTGGGACTAAGCCATGCGGGCAGGGAGGAGCGCGTTGAGGAAACTAAGAAGCGATATAAGGAAAAGACCTACAATGGAATCACAAAATTTAATGGGGCTCGCATATCTGTCTCTACCGCATCCAAATCACAACCACCTTCAAGAAGGAAACGAAGGCCTATCAGGCTTCCGGCAAGTGGGGACCCTCAATCCAACAATATCTGGAATCATGACTGGTTTAGGCCTGGATATGCCATAATTATTAATGGGCGATATGGCAAGCGAATAGAACTTTTAGGTTTGAGTAGACTATGTCATCACAAGCCCTGGTGTGACTAGAAGAGCACGAGTAGTAGTATCTGATGGAAATAGAAGGTGTTTGCTTGGTACTGTTGAAAATACCCAGTACAGCAGTAGAGGGGGAGGTACACTTATATACCAGTATCAGCAAGGTCTTACAGGTCGGGCAAGGGTATCTACCAAAACCTCAAGCAGGTTGAGCACCAAGCACTGGATTTGATGAACAAAACCTGACATGTATCATGATTGGCGAACCAATCACGATTTAGTTTTTATTGCATATTCTCAGCATCTGGACATCCTACCCTGATTCCTGTTTGAACGAGGAAGAGAAAGAGAACTGTACAGAAGTGTACTGTACCAGAGAGGAACAAACCAAGGCTCTGTTCAGTTCAATGTGTCGATGAAATCATGCTTTCTCATTCCCCACCACTCTATCAGTGAACGGGTGGCATGAATAGAGGTGCTCTAACTGCTGATCGTGACAATTGTGCTCCATATCATGCTTCTGCATGTATCTTCACTTTTAGGTGTCCGAGTCCCACCTATCAAATATGAACCTGGTTGAGAATGTGTAGCCACTTTGAAAACTATATTTCCTACAAGCTTACCGAGACTACTATCTCCACTCCCGTGGTCATGAAGAAGTCATGAAGTTCTCCTAGAAGGTGTGGGAGGATCTTCCACGGGCTCGGAGAGTGGTCTATAGGCGGACTCATAGGATTCTGACTAGGGTTGCTACACTACGGTATTAGTCTATCAAGCTCCAACTGTCACCCCAAATCAGATGCCAACGCCACGGACCAACGACACCCACATCGCTCCGGTCAGATTTCCAATCCTTGGTATTCTAGCCACAGTATTTTCTTCTTTCAACCCCGATTGAGATCTTCCCACCAGCGCCCTGATGGCGCAGGTCATCTAGCAGAGGACAGGTGATGGTGATCCTAGGGGAGGATGTCGATGTGGAATGTGGTCGATAGTGTGAGAGGAGAAAGATAATGATTGTATTCTAGTAGAGGGGAAATCCCCGAGACTAAATACAGAATGAGATGTGTGCCAAGAGGAACATATCACTAGGGTAACACCCTACTCAACTACCTAATAGGGAAAAACTCCCATCATACTATGAGGCCACATACCATACTATTGGGATTACTCCATCACGCCCCCCACCATGCTTCCACTTCGGCCCATAGTTAGGCGAATCCTCTCACGATCCTTCCAAACTTGTCATTACTCCTCGACCTCAATTTTTCCTCGGACGATATCCTCTCTCCTTCATTCCCCTCTCTCCGATGAAAGGGCAAATGAAACGGTCACGGTTGCTGGCTGGGTCCGTTCGGTCCGGCGAATGAAGAATGTTTCGTTCGCCCATGTCTCAGATGGCTCAACGATACATCCACTGCAAGCTGTGTTGACGAAGGAGCAATCGGAGAATTTGTCGATGGGAACTAGTGTTAAGATAACGGGCGAGTGGAAGGAGTCTGTTGGGGGGAAGGGGCAGCAGAGCAAGGAGCTGTTGGCGGAGAAGGTAGAGGTTTTGGGGAAGGCAGACCCTCTGGTATCACTCCTTCCCTTATTCGCTATGGATTTATCGTAATGTTGAAAACCTGATGTCTCTTTTGTCTGTGTTGGTGGAAAGACATATCCTCTGCAAAAAAAGTATCAGACTCCGGAGTTCTTAAGAACGCTACTACATCTCCGACAAAGGATACCGGCCAATACGAACTTACTCCACTTAAGATCTAATATAATCTCGACACTCACCGCCTTTTTCGTGGAACACTCATTTATCCAATGCCACACGCCAATAATTACCTCCTCAGACTGCGAAGGTGCTGGAGAAGTCTTCGCAATCGTTCCGGAAAAATTCTTCAACACACCCAAATACCTCACCGTCTCCGGCCAATTGCATCTTGAAGCGCTCGCAGCGGCGGTCCCTAGGGTATGGACTTTGAGCCCATCATTCCGTGCGGAGAAGAGCGGCACAACTAGACATCTGAGCGAGTTCTACATGCTCGAAGTCGAAGCCGCGTTTATCGACACTTTGGATCCGTTGGTAGCGTTAATAGAGGACATGGTGAAGACAATTGTTCGAAGCATCAGCACTTCTCGCGTGGGCAAAGAAACCTTATCCACAGCGGGTGAAGATAAAGCGGTGCAACTCGAGGAGCGTTGGAAGGGTCTACTAGAACGTCCTTGGTCTAGGATAACCTACACTGAAGCGATATCAAGACTGGGCTTGGCGGCAGAGCAGAAGGAAGTACAGTTCGATATCCCCGCGGTCTGGGGTGCCGCATTACAAGCCGAGCATGAGCGCTTCCTTGCACAGACTGTATTCAATGGACCGGTTTTCGTGACGGATTACCCGAAGAGCCTGAAGCCTTTCTATATGCTCCCTTCTGTCAGCACTGTCCCCACGCCGGGGGAAGGCGAGACGGTAGCTTGCTTTGACCTACTTGTGCCGGCTGTAGGCGAACTCATTGGGGGCTCGCTGAGGGAATATCGATACGACGAGTTGCTGACGGAGATGCGGAGGCACGGCATAGCGGTCGGGGACGGAGGTGAGGACGAAGGGAGCTTAAGATGGTATTTGGAACTTCGCAAGTGGGGGAGTACTAGGCACGGTGGGTTCGGGTTGGGGCTTGATCGGTTGGTGTGCTATTTGGCCGGTGTAGAGAATATTAGGGAGGCTACGGCTTTCCCCAGGTGGGTTGGGAGGTGCGATTGTTAGTCGGGGAGCAGTTTATGTGATAGAGAGGGAAGAGGGCAAGCACGATTGAATGTTGACGGTTGGCTTGGAGCGCGGCGCCGTTGCTTGAGCGTGGATATGTGAAAATATAATCGTACGTCCTAAATGCTTTGATATCCCTACACTACTGGTGAATCCCAAAGATTTCCGGAACGCCAGGGGTATGTCCTTTTTGTGTGCCTTGGCATTGAGGTGTCCGGGTGCTTGTGAGATTTGCGAGTGAGATTTAGTAGTTCTAGGCACCGTGTTAGGTGAGAATGTGTGAAGTTTTAAAGCATGCTGAAACCCAGCGTACTGTGAACTGTGCCATGAGTTCATTCAATCTGTTTCCTAGCTCTAGAATGTAGTTCTAAGATGGCACCAAGCATACGATAATAGAACCAGCCAAAGATCACTCAAACCGGCACCTCCCAGCAACCAAGCACCTCAATAGATGACCAAACCCATCACACCCAACCCAGAGCGACCCCCCACAATCCTAAGCGCACTTCACAGCCGTCATCTCGCATGCCAACCCACCGCCAGCATACCACAGCCCATCACTCGCCCCAAATACCCCTGCAAACCCTGTGAAAGCCAGAACAAAGCCACTTCTTGCCCAAGAAGATTAGGATCCGAACAACTTTAGGCCTTCAAATTCGATATGAGGGTAGGGGGCACCCACTTAACAACTGCAAGTAGTTTTCACTCGATGGGCGCAGAAACCAGGGACCAGAGGTAGATCATAACAGTAGGTGATATTTGATCATTGATCTATTGTATAAGTTATGTCATTACTGTCCACCCCTAGTACGCTAAAAATTCTTACTCAAATTACCCCCTATATACACACTGAGTGCGGACGGCGGCGGCGGTCTCCATAAGCAGAAGGGATCTCCTGCACTTGCTATCGTCCGTGCCATAGATTGATGCCGGACTACTAAGCATTATACCAAACTGTATGACATGGTACACCGAACCCCCTCCCCCGGCGGACGACAAGACGATCTGATAAGGGGTGCATGCTTTATATCAAAGCTGTGAACAGGGGGAAAAAAGTGATGCCCCGTTCGGCTCGTGATGGGCTTGTGTTTTCCTGTCTGTCTGGGGATTTGTTGCGAAGCATATGTATATTTTTTCAATATTGTGTTTATTTCCTGATGTCCCAACTTGAAGGTCCGGAAATGGGATCTTGTTTTCGTCGGGAGGGACAGACAATAAGGTACCGTAGTTGCCGACCCCGGATATGGATCGTTCGTACAGCTCTGTCTTAAAACTGGTCGAATGTATGATATGTCGCGTAATGTTATGGTTTCTCTCTTGCTTGCTTGCTGGGAGTGGGTCCCACTACTCCCCCCCCCCGAAATAATACGACAATCCTCGAAAGGTGGATGGAGTGCTAGCTGTGAAGGGGATTTTACAAAAAAAAAACACCTGAATGAGAAAATATGACTGGCACAGCACTGGAGTGAAACAACTCCTACCGGAGCAAACGCCAATGCTCAAGGTCTCGTGCGGGGCTTGCTAGTAAGTTTGTGAGTGAGTGATAGATGATGGCGGGGAATTTCATAATTATGATATCTTTTTTTTATAGCTATGATACAGCACACTCTATCACTACAGAAACCCTATTTCAACAAATCTTAATGAAAAAAACTGACCAAGTAGGGTAAAATGAGTGATAGTTGATGTCAGTAGATTCAACTTTTTTTCCCTTTTTGGACACTCTCTGGTAAGTTGTGTATGATATTCATAGGGTGCTAAGAACCTTAACCACATGCCCACAGCGGTTGCCCCCCCGTGGCGAGGAGGGGTGCTAATATCCCGCACCCTTTCAGCAAAGGGTTTCGGAGCGCTCACATTCGGAATTGAGGGTTCACTGTCCAGGCACCTGATGAGGACACGCTAACATGAATTCCTGCACGAGCTTTTGCGGAGGCGAGTCTTGTTTGTTGAATATGGATCAGTTTCTACTCGGGAGGTGGGGAGGGGGGCATATAAATGAAGCATGTAAAGTATCGAAAACTTAGTAGGAACTTCCAAGGCAAAGCAAGACTTCCGAAACCTCTTGGAGAGTGTAAGCATCCCTCGATGCATAGAGGCTACCATGGAACTAGTTCTCTACGGAGTGATCCTCCTCCCCTACCCCCCAAAACTTCCGCTCTGGCGGTCAATCACGTGGATCCCACGGCTACCAGTCGCCAAACTCCCCGCTGTGTCGTTACCCCACGCCCCCTGGATATCTGCGGGGCCCTGAGAAAGAGAGACGACAGAGGCGCACTTCTTACAGGGAATTAACAATACACCCGGAAGCTCCCCAATACCCCCAGTTGTGCCAAAGCCATCTCATACGCATGCTCCCCGCAGATCAAGCTATTCGGCTGCAGGGGCCGCTGGCAAGCTGACGGGAGGTAAAATTTCTGACGACCATTTACAAGGACGCAATCAGTGGATGATGTGCATGAGCTTGAATTGAGTGTTGGGGGTTTGCCCGCTGTGCTGGAGGGTAATATAGTGATGAGGTGGAGATGCAATAGTCCCTTTTTGAAGATGTGTTTGGCTACATTATAGCTCCCCCCTAGGAATTTAGTAGGATACTTATAGATAAGTCTACCTACTCGGCAGTGTAGGAGGGGGGCGGGGGTGCATTCTCACGGAGGCACTCGCCAAAGAAGCGGAGAACGAGTTTTTATTGGGGACAGGTGTTGAACGGGCCAATTTCTCAGAGATGGACTGGTCATATATATGTAGCCCTGAGTGATCTTCCATGATTTGTGAGTGATAGATAATGACTGAGGGTGGGGCTCACCCCGCTAATTGGACATTTCTACATGACGACAGGGAATAACCGCGTTTTGAATTATACTTCCGCAAGAAGTCCTCTCGCCCGTTGGGTGCCCTGAGGGGTCAGGACTCTAACTAACCGACCAAGCCAAGGACAAGAAGAGTCCCCAAAGAAGGGACTTTCCTAATACCAAACCTCATTATAGAACCAAGAAACCAACCCTCCCCTCACCCCTCCAGCAAGAAGGCTCCCCCCCACCATCCTATAAACTTACAGACAGCCTACCACAACATCACCCTCCCAGCCAATAATGGGCCGGACAGAGAACCACTCATCCAAATCCCAACATGCATGAAAGTGAGCTGCAGTGTTGCCCTCGCACCACCACTGAAAGGACATCTGGGAAGCCGACGTAGACGAGTTCCCACTCCAGAGTGGAGGAGAGAGGGAAAGCATCTCGCTCAGGAGTTTATACCCGCCAATTCTGTGCCCAGGGTTTGTGTGTGGGGAGTGCGCTCTCCATGAGAAGTTATGTCACTGCTAGGATTGTGCGGAAGTTTGATATAATATGATACTTTGGAGAACACTGATGGGGAGGAGGATGAATGATGTGAGCTTGGCTAGGAATCCGGGGGGGGGATTAGAGCCAGGTTCTCGAGGACCTACCAGCTTATCATACACGGGAGGGGGGGAGTTGAGGGAGTGATATTTGGTGATACTTATGGAATTTTTTGTATAATTTTGCTTCCTTCTCCGACTCGGACATGATAGGCTCTGGAGTTTCTTTGTGATTTGGCTCTCCTCTTTTGAAAATGTTGCCTCTCTCTCCATTCCTTCCTCTCACTGATGGTTTGAGCTTTCCTTGGAAGCCCTTCTGGCTGTGCTTTAGCAAAGCCTTTAGATGCGCAGTACCTGCTATTCTAGCCACTGGGTTTGCGGATTTTTTCCTACTAGGGGGCTATATTCCTAGCTATGATAGCCAAAGCACTTTAGGGTTTACACCCTATATCGAGTTCTTGACAAATGGGTTTATGAGTATGATATGAGACTTGTGACAAAGAATATCATTTGAAACAACCATAATATTATTATAATAATATTATTATGAAAAAATACCCACCCACCCGCTCAATCTCTACCACACATCCACTCCCAGCCACGAAAATCCAAGCCCCGCAACATGGAAACATCCAAGCTGCGACAGCCACCCTTATCATATCATATCATACCTGCACAAACGAATTAGTAAAACCCCCGACCATAAAAAAAAACTTCAATACCAACCCACCAGCAGCAAGTATCATAACAACAACCATAATCCCACCAACGCAGGAGAAATTCCAAAGCCAAGCGCTGACGCCGGCATTCCAAAGTCCGCAACCCAATCCCAATCGCACCCCTACCACCCCTGCCGGGCGCGGAACAACCTTCTCCCCATAAGTCTCCGCGGGGCTTCACCTACCCTACCGGGGTAGCGCGCGGTAGCAGTAGCAGTAGCAGTAGCAGTAGCAGTAGCAGTAGCGGTACTAACATCCAGTCTCCGGGAATGGGCGCAAGCTGGAGGTTATGCGTTAAAGAATTTGCCTGCCTGCCATTTGGTGCGTGTGCTTTGTACAGTACTCGTACTTCCACCGACTTGTGGGGGCGGAGGAGGAGGTACAAGTACTTGTATGATAATACAACACCTGGCCTTTTGTTCCCCCCGGGGTCGGTCCGTATTTGGCGGTTTGTCTGTGGAATTACTAATACGGAATGTCAATTCCACGCCACGTTGGATATACTATACAAGTACAGAGGGGTTCGCCGATCATCGGAAAGACGAGATCCCGGTTGAAATCCGCGAGTAATCAAAACTCCGAAAACTTGGAAAAGGCAACAGGGATTCACAATCAATAAACCAGTATGATGAAAGAAAAGGCAACAATTAAACCTATGATGATAAAATATCATAATTGGATGACATCTGGGAGCACAACTTCCTTTGCCTACAACCAAAATCTAGCACTTTTGTCCAGATCTCAGTACCATGCAAGAGTAGTCAGGTTCATGAAGGCCTTTAAATCATAAGTAGGTGTCTTGCTGTGAAAAAAGGATGAGGTCAATGATGTTTTGTATTCAAGAAAGGGGATAAGGATAAATAGTAAGGTAGATAGCACAAAGTGGAGTTTAATCAAAGTCCTCCAACAATTTCTTCTGTCTCTTACCTATAGTATGCCTTCTATTCAATCCTTTCAGATCTTCTGAATATAAGCATATATCACTTCTAAGTCAATCCTTTCAGTTCGCCCAATGGACAACCAAATTGACTCCAAAACCAAGGGCTCTTGGAGTACTGAAGAGTTCA